CCTTCTAAACTGTGTGTAATTGGATTCAGAGAAAACTTTCTAATTATATTTGCGTTCATTTTTATGCTACTTCACAATCACCCCAAGTTACTAGGTAACAAAATTATTATGGAACTGGCTCAGAATTTTCTGTATAGTAATCAGTCTCCATGACTGAAAACACAGAGAGAACGTCAATGAGGGAGAAAGGTTTTATTCTCCTGAATCTAGATAAAGCACATGAAAATTTGCTTCTGTCCACAGGAGATTCTTACTCCTTGTCAAAGGAACAATAGGCAGCATTTATAAAAATATGATCTTTGTGCACGTTGCTAGGTTACTTCATTTTCAGTCTTTTTCTTTACAATGCAAAATGATTTTTAAATACCAAGAGAGATAAGCAATAAGGAGTAGTGAAAATGGGAAGCTGATAGTGTCATTAAGGCATTGACTATAGTAATAAATATATTAGATTACATGAAGATAAAAGATATTTGAATACTAGCCAAGAAAGGGCTCCAGTCAGCCACAAACTACAGTGAGACACTGCCAGTTTTAAAATCTCCTTTTCGTTTTTCTGAGTTTCTCAAAGTGGGCAATTTAGTGCTGACCCTTAAAATGTTTTTTGCTGAGTGAAATAATTTCCCCGAATTATGAACACATGTTCTATTCTTGTTTCTTATTATTTTTTTTGAGTTGGAGTCTCACTCTTTCGCCCAGACTGGCGTGCAGTGTCCGCTTCTGGCCACCGCAGCCTCGACCTGCTGGACTCCGACGATTCTTCCGCCTCAACCTTCCGAGTAGCCGGAATTACAGGTGCGCGCTACCACGCCCGGCTAATTTTTTGATTTATTGTAGAGATGAGGTCTCGCCTGCCCAGGCAGGTCTCGAACCCGCGGGCTCAGGTATCCACTCACCTCAGCCTCCCAAAGGCACAGGATTACAGGCTGAGCCACCGAGCCCGGCGAAATACACTTTTATATTATCTATAGGCATCAGGTGACAAGCATCAGGTCCCCAACCACAGCCCAGTAGCTGAGGTTATCCAGTAGATGACCAACACTGAGGAATGTAGGTCAGTCACCTAAGATCCAGAAGCCACTTGAACTACCTGAAGGCAACAGCACATGACACTGTTCACTTCCTGACTTGAGCCTTGGAGCCATTTTATGGCTCCCTAAATAGCTACCAAATTATATCACAGAAGGTAAAGGCTTTGTTAATGCAGGACTTCATAACTATAACCAAACCACAGCCAGCACTGAGAAGTGCATCTATCTACTCTACCAGAGGAAGTACTTTTCTAGATTGACAAGTATGAGGGCCCTGCTGGTGGCATGGACTTTTTTCACTTGTTTTCTTATATTAGTCAGAGGAAATATACCAGAGTAAATTCTTCTGTGTGACAAAGCTTGGAAATATTCTTCAATACTGATACTTATTTTGTTGTTCAACAAACATTATCCAGTTACCATAGAGGCTGTGAAGGGTCCCCGGAACAAGACAAATCCCTCCCTCAGTGAGTTCATAATCTAAGGGAGAAGAGAAATTGATGAAGTGTGAGATGAAGGACACAAAGGGGTTCAGGGGAGCAACACAAGGATGCCAAGAGAAAGCCTCTCTGAAGAAGTACTGTTTAAGCTGAAACATCACACATGAGGAGTGGTTAGCAAGGTAAAGAGGGTCAGGAAGGGGTGTCAGGGCAGAGGAAACAGCATGTGCAAAGGCCCCGGATTGCCAGAATGTAGCCTCTGGGTGAGGGAAACTTTTGAAAGGTTTTGTAAGGACATGATCAGTTTAAAAACAAAAAATCAATCCAGCTTTAGTTTGAGAACTGAAGCAAGAATGAAGGTGAAGAGGCCAGTATAGTAGAAATCCAAAAAACATTCCTTGGAGGGAGGTCATGGCAGTCAGGATGGAGAGAAATGGGCAGAATCAAGATAATATTTAGAAAATGCCATTGGCAAGATTCAATGCTAGATTAGATTTGGAAGGTAAGGAAGAGGTGTGTGTGCCAAGGATTTTTGGTCTAACCAAATGTCTCTGAAATGAAGATCTAGTCATAAACCACAACAAAGTAAATTAATGCATGCTTGTATAGGAAAAGAGCCTGACATGTATTGATAAAATAAGCGACTGTTTTTCATGATGAATTTAAAAGTTAAAATGTTTGTATTTTTACATTTAGAAACCCTGTTTTAAAGACAATAACTCAAGAGATAATCCCCTTAACTGACTTTTTAAACATGTATAACATTCTATCTTTGGAAATACAGACCATTATACAACATAATTATGAAGCTCCTGGACTGAGAGTCAGGATTTCTGGCTTTCGCCTGAGTCCCCTCACCAACTGCATGACACTAGGCTACCATTTAACTCCCCAGGCTTAGTGTCTTCATGTATTGGGGCAGAGGGAGTCAGAGATTAAGATTCTGCCCTCTACAGACAACTGAAGCCAACGTGTTATGCACTACTGTGTTCTAGGTTCAGAGATCTTACGCATGGCTGGCCAATAGCTTTTTTTCTTCCTTCTCCCCCTGGATAGTTCTTTACCAACCCCATACGATGCAAAGTTACTTCTTTTCAAAAATGTCTCTGGAATTAGGTATCAAAATGGCTTTCTCAACAAATAGTAATTTCTCACAGGCCTGGGGTACACTGCCGTGCTTAACTCCACTAGACCTTTAAAAATGACATCGTCATTAAAGGACTCCACAGACGTCTTTCACAGTTTATCAGGTGTGGTCTCCTGTTAAAACCTGTATCCTCGAGAAATCAGAGTAAGGCATGACATTTAAGCTCGGAAACATCACCCGCTTCCGATATGTCCTGAAATGTCATCGCATCCTCATGGTTTCCTTAATGCTAAGCCAAAATGATCCAGGTACAGCCATCTAGGGAAGCATTTAATCTGTTCACTGTAGACAATATATAGGAACAAAATTAAAATCCAGACTGCACCTAAAAGCCAATCAACTTAAAACCACTCTGATACCGCACTCTAGTCCAGGAAGCCCAGATAATTCCCACAGGCCCCTACTGCGAGTCCTGCCCTGGGTTCGTTTCTAGACATTCGTGACCCACAGAAACCACCAGGATCAGGAGAAATACACAGCGGTGACCCCGCCACCACCCCGCGCTCCGGAAGCGACGAGGCTGGCACACCACCACCCCAGATCTGCCGCCCTCCATCAGGTTCTGCCAAAGGACACCTCCGCGCGGAGAGGACCCGACCCTCCTTGAGCACGGAAGGGACTGAAAACGTTCCCAAGATGGAGAGAAGAAAGAATCGAAGACGGGGCTGAGAGGAAAGCAGCTTCACGGCGGGAAGCCAGACCCAGGTGAGGAGAGCCAGACCGGAGGCAGAGAAGGAAGAGCCCAACGACACCGCGGAAAGGAGGAGATCGGGCCCTGGGCCGAGCGTGGCAGGGTAGGCGAAGACGCGAGGAGAGGGCCGGGGAGTGGGCTCGAGACCCAGGGCGGAGGCAGCCGAGGCGAAGGAGGCTCGGGGACCGCACAGGGCTGGAGAAGCCGCGGGAGGAGAGGCGGACAGCTACTGAAGGGCCTCAGGACAGCGGGGTCCTCACCTTGGCTTTCGTCCGGCCGGCCTTGGCCTTGGCCCGGCGCTGGGGCTTCACCGCCTCGGCCATAGACCCCACCACGGCACCGTCGCCGTTTGTTTTGGTCAAAACCCTGAGCTTCACGCAACCTGCCGGGTTCCGGGCTGTCACGTGAGCGAATCTCCACCACTCCCGGGAAGGGGCGGGGACTAGTGGAATCTACGGGCCGCCACGTGGGACAAACCACACCGGGACGGATCTGTGAGACAGGTGGAGGCCCCGCCCCCTTCACAGCGCCCGCCACACTCCCTTTCCACCGCCCTGACCCGGTCCCCTTCCCGGCGCCCAGTCCCCGTCTCCTGGAACTGGCGCGCCGGTGGGCACCGCCTCCTGGCTGCACCTGTCGCGCTGATTCGGTGGAACTGTGCTGGGCGACTCTCCGGGCTGGCAGAGCCTCTTCGTGTCCCCAGGCCGCGCTCGGTCCGGATCCTGAGTGCGCTCGCTCGCCTCAAGCATATTAGCTTAAAGGACTACGGGGAAAGGGCTTGTCAATCTTATTTTGGGCCCGGCGCGGTGGCTCAAGCATGTAACACCAGTACTTTGGGAGGCCGAGGCGGGAGGATCTCTGGAGACCAGGAATTCAGCCTAAGCAACAGAGCAAAACGCCACTTCTACAAAAAAAAAGTTTAATCTTACTTGGATCTTCAGGTAACCAGAGCCAGCCAATCAGCCTGAATCTGCACTGCACGTGAGGAAAGACCCCTGATGACCATGGGGATGTGCATGTCAGTATCTTTTGTAAAAGGAGAGGGACAATGCTTGCCTGTTTGGACGTCATGAGGATTAAATGGGCTCATGGAGAAAGGTGCCAGTGACTGCAGGCATGTAAATGGTAGTTATTAATTATCACTCGTGTGCAAATTCCCAGGCCGGAAGAGACATCTGCTCTGAAAACGACAGGCAAACAGGCAATTAGACAAATAAGACCTGCAAAAGTGTTCTTAGCGTACGTTTTGCACTTTGCTTCATCTGAAAATTCCAGTTGTGAAAAACGTATCCTCCTCTCCCCTTTCCAGCCCTAATATTTCTATACTTGGCTTCAATGTTTATTGTTAGTGTGTGTCAACCCTCCTAGAATGTGAGATCTGTAGGGTAAGGTTCTTTGTTTCATTTCCTGTTGCATCCATCCCAAGGGTCTCCAGAACACCGGCCCGCACATAGTAGAGACTCAATAAATTGTTGATGAATTGAATGAATGGATGTGAGTTTGTCTGGCAGTGGGATAAGGTATGAGATGAGATGTTTGGAAAGGGAAAAAAGACTATCTGCCCACCTAAAGCGTCCCCTAGAATGAAAAATCCAGGAATATGCAAAATTGAAAGGACTTCAGAGATGAAGTCTGCATGCTGTTTTGTTTATGATCATATAAAATACAGTTTCATGTATTTTGACCCCAACTCCTCAACAACAAAAAAGATCATTAAGCTACTTAGAATGTATGTCACTTTGTATATCCTCGAGTTAGTGTGGGAGGAGTGCAGAGAGAGAGAAAGAATGAGAGGGAGAGAGAGAGTTATCACCCGCAGGACTTGGCAAATATGAACAAAATCTTTATGCCACCAGTACCGTAACTTTACTGGTATTTCCCTCAGTCTGAATAACCCCACTGGCTCCTCCAACTCAGATCCTTTTTGGACTTTAAAGTTCTCCATACGCCACCTACAACTTGGTCAGCAAAAGAGAACTGGCCCTACCTTCAATTTGCACATTTTACCGATTAACTGAGAAGTAGACACCACGCTTAGATAAATCGTGATGTGCGAACCATTGCCTACAAGAAAAAAAGGGGCACACTTTGGAGAAATTGAATGAAAAGGTGACACGAGGGCTGGGATGAGTTTCACACCAAAAGGGGTTAATCCTAGAGGATGGGAGAAAGGAGAAGGAAAGAAATGGAGTTTTTAAAAAAGCAACTCAAAGGAGCTAGCCTTTTTATCTAGGTAAAAATTACAACCCCCCTGGGCACTAAAAGCCCCCTCCATAACCTCCCAGGACTATACTAAGTACTTCTGCTTCATTTACATGACTTCTCAGGTGGGGCTAGGGGTGAGTGTGAGCGTGTTGTGGAAACCCCAAGTCAGGGCACTTGCATAATGTTTACCTATTCTGAAGTAATCACCTGGAGGACAAGTTGATAAAGACATGGGTTTTTTTTTTTTTACACTTTCATTTATTTATTTCCTTTAATAGTGTTATCACTGAAACAAGTTATATTATTTGTACATCAAATCTTACAAATATGTTTGTCGTTCAAAGAAGTTATAAAATAAAGTCAATTATCTCACAAACAAGAAAAGATTACAAGAAAAACAACAGGACATTGATGAAAAGATACTTTTTAAAATGTGGAAATAGAGATGGAAAATATCATCTAAATTTCTTTTTTTTTAATTTATTTTATATCCGGGTTTGGTGGCTCAGCCTGTAATCCCACGCCTTGGGAGACTGAAGTGAATGGATTGCCTGAGCCCACGGGTTCGAGACCTACCTGGGCAACTTGGCAAGACCTCATTTCTACAATAAATCAAAAAATTAGCCAGGTGTGGTAGCCCGTGCCTGTAGTTCCGGCTACTTGGAAGGCTGAGGCGGAAGGATCTCCGGAGCCCAGCAAGTCGAGGCTGCGGTGGCCGGGAGCAGCCACTGC